TGGCTGTTCAAAGTTTCAATGGTTTTCCATAGATTAAGCTTTAACTACACTGACCTGGGTCGCCAGTAGCAAACAATGGAACAAACTAAGTAATTACACCAGTCAGAAGCATTTAATCTGCGTTATATTTTCTGTAAAAAAAAATTTCATATCGGCGGCATATTCGCCGATACCGATATATCGGCGACAGGCTCATATCGGGCGATAATATCAGCTAAACGATATATCGGTCGGGCTCTATCTTTATGCACCAAGAGCTTGTAACACTCCAAAGAGAAAGGAAAAAATGAAATCGCATCATATAACCCCTTTAAAATTTACGAGGTCAATAACATGGATCTAAAAAATAGGGTAAATTTTCATTTCATGTTGACTTTTTAACTGTGACTTCCTGCAGAATCCTTTGTCATTCATTAAAGCATGTTGAGCCATGTTTTCTATATCACTTACACATTTCAAATTATGCACATGCTCCTTTGAAAGGGAACAAGGAACCACTCATTTCCTGAATACGGATGAAAAACCGTTTGTATAATTTTTACCTGTAAATGTAATCAGTGTCAAAACGCATGGTGAACAGCACTCATAATGATGAAACTGTTTCACCTGCTGATGGAAATGATGCATGCCTAACTACATCATTAACCACATTTGCCTCATTTTTTTCTCATCTCAGAAATTACAACTGAATGATGCAATCATGAACAGTCCAGTCAGAGTATGTGGAGGGGTTGTTTCAGTGTGTCCCGTCTGTACATAAGGGAGAATCTTTCAGTCAGCCATCAATTACACGTCCCGCCCGCCTGCCTGCCTGACTAGTAATTGTAGCTCAAGGCTTGCAGAGAGGGCGCGAGTATGATGTCCTACTGAGTAGTGTGACCTAAACGTGAGGCTCTTTCAGTGGTGGAAGCCCTTTCAGTGGTGGAAGCCCTTATGACCTTTGTGATGTCTAGACTTTATTTATGTGGCTAGACCAGTGGTTGTCAGCTACAAAAGCTTTTTTTTTTTTTGTCACATACATGGTTATATAGAGAATATATGACCAGCAGTGAAATGTAAGTAAGGTCCACTCCATGGACAGTGCAATTATTAAAGAATACAAACACAAGAAAATTATATCAGGGGTTCAACCGTAATTTTACGAAGCTACGAGAATACTTTTTGTGCGCAACAGAAAAAAAAAAAAACGACTTTATTCAACAATTCGTCTCCGTCACCCTGTAGCGTAATTTTGAAGAGTATCAGCTGGACGTAAACAACGTATGCTGTTCTGTGTCAGCTGCGTCACACGGATACGCTGTTTCCGTTCAGATCAAATCACAACAACGTAGGAAACAGATCAGGCGTGATGCAGCTGACACAGAACAGCATACGCTGTTTACGTCCAGCGGATACTCAACATAAATGCTTTTTTTTAGTATATTACAATATACAATATTCAAAGGTCTCATGATTTTTCTAGTTGTTTATGATTTACTGTATAGAGATTAAGGATAATGATTTTTTAAAAAT